GTTTGATGCTATGGTTGAAACAACAGCAAATCAACATCGAGCTCTTTCTGTTAGCTTCAACATGATCAACATCAATGTTCTTAGCTTTACTGAACGACTAGATGCCCAGGGAGCACCAAATCAGGATTATTCCTTCAGGGGGAGAGGTCACCAACATAGGGGGATAAGACCTTAGATTGTCGAGCTGCGTTGGTGTCACGCATGTCATTTAGCATTTTGATGTGTGTTTCGTTTTGTTATTTGCTTTGCTATTTTGTTTGACTTGAAACATGTAATAAACTACTTCTGATGTGTAATGTATTAAGTTTGCTTCTCTATGTTTCATATGTTATTTAATTCTATATCTCTTGCATTAGCAACATTAAATATGAATGTTTGTTGATGTTTTATCTGTTGTAAAGCATATGGTTGCTTGCATATCAATATGATTTGATTACGAATGAATTTTTTCTTCACTCTTTTTGATGCTGTCAAAGGGGGAGAATGAAAAAGCAAGTGCTTCACAAAGAAAGAATGCTCAGAATATTATAAAGAGAAATGCATACAGTTAGAGGGAGAATGCTCTTCACAAAGTACTCAATGTGTGGAAGGTTTTGCAAAGGTTTTTCGATCATAAAAAAAAGGGAGTATGTGAGGGCAAGGTTCCTTAGTGCTTTATGTTAATGATGTCAAAACTAGTAAGATTTTGTACTTGTGTACTTTGGACGGTATCATCGTGTCTTAGCTTGCATTCATCCTTTTAATATGCATAAAATAATCCACATATATGAGTCTATGCATATAGGATCATCCCCTATGTGAAAATTATGCATTGAATCATTTTTGGCTTCATTAGGTCGACCCATACTGGGCTTAGATCGACTAAAAGTTTTATAAAAATGTGTTTGTGGCTTTCTGGCACTCTTGCGTCGACTCACATATGCGTGGAGGTCGAGACATACTAAAGGATAAACAATTTTATGCTCTCAGGTGCCCTTGCATCGACGCATGGCTTGGTTCAGGTTGACGCATGGTTTGATTTTCTATGTAGATTTGTTTTCGGGAGTGTTTAGGTCGACTCATAGAATGTTGAGTTCGACCTCTCATTCATTTAAGCATATTTTTCTACTTCTTTGTGTTTCAAAAAGCTGTTAATTCTGTTATATGGTCTTGGTCATATATATATATATATATATATATATATATATATATATATATATATATATATATATATATATATATATATATATATATATATATATATATATATATATATATATATATATATATATATATATATATATATATATATATATATATATATATATATATATATATATATATATATATATATATATATATATATATATATATATATATATATATTCATAAGCATCATCTTGTGTATGTGAACCAACAAGAAAAGTGAAAATATACATTGAATTTGCTCATCATCTTCATTCTCACACTTGCATTCTTCAACAACTACACATAATCACTTTTGTTGATCTTTGCATTGTCGAGGTGATAACGTCCAAACTTAGAATTTGTATATCGTGGTTTGGGTTAAGAATTCAGTGGGTTTTTCTTGAATAAAACCTTTGGGGTTTTGTCCTTCAAGATCTTGAGGATTTGGGGGTGGAGGAGGGGGGGGGGGGGGTTGCACAAATATTTGCGTCACAGATTCAGCCAAGTGAAAGGCTTGAGGAACGGTGGGTTTAGTCAAGGAAGTAACGGTAACCGAAAGATTATGTTGAAAGATTTGAGGTCGAACATCTTGCGATCAGAATCAGCTGAGTGAAATACCCAAAGATTCAAGTGAGTAGCGGTACCTGAAGGTTTGATCGAAGAGTTTGATGTTCTGGATAGAATCAACATCAACAATTAGGTTTGAGTGTGTGTTGGCTATAACTTCTCTTGTACAAAACTTTATAACTTGATATTATACATATCTCAATTCTAGTTATAGAATTGGGGGCAGACGTACCCGAAGCGAGGAAGAAAAGGGAAATTGCTTAAACAAATCGTGTGTCGTTCTTTCTTTCTCTATCTCTGTACTTTATGTTGTTAACGTTTGTGCGATATCAATTGTTCGATAATTTTTTACTGCAGTGTAGTGCTGAAAAACTGTTTTGGAAACTCATTGCAATCACTTTGATTGCAATTGTGAAAAATTCTGCACTATCATTTCATAGGAAATTGAACTTGGGGGTGTTGTGCACACCAAGTATTTGACATTTTGATTACACACAATCTGTTTGTAAAATTGTCAATTTAGTTTTACCGCTATAATTCATTGGAAACGGTTGATTCAAAGTGGTCTTAATTTGAATAATTGATTGTGAAAATTGTTGATTTGTTTATCTTATCAACTTCATTCTATATTGGCTGCACTTATTCGATCTTACCAATAACGGTTCATTTAGACGATTAAAAATCCATGTCAGCTTTCGTATATTTTTGAAACAATTTTTAAATGCCGAATTTTGTTAAAAATTAGTGATCTATTCAACCCCCTTCTAGATCATTGCCATCGTCTAACAAAAGGGAATGTGAACAGACCTCCCATCTTGGATGGAACCAACTATGACTATTGGAAGGCGCACATGGTGGTCTTCTTAAAATCCATGGATAGCAAGGCTTGGAAAACTATCATCAGGGGTTAGAAACACCTTGTGGTTAAAGATGAAGATGAGAAGGAAAATCTGAAACCTGAAGAGGACTGGACCAAGGAAGAAGATGAGATTGCTTTTGGAAACTCTAAAGCCTTGAATGCCCTATTCAATGGAGTTAACAAGAACACCTTTAAGTTAATAAACACATGCACTGTAGCAAAATATGCTTGAGAAATTCTCAAGATAACTCATGAAGGTACACCTAAGATGAATATGTCTAAGCTTTAGTTGCTCACTACCATTTTCCTCAGTCAATCTATTTAGCTAACATGTGGAACACACAATATTTCTAAGGGATTTATTAAACACAGCAAAATGGGAGGAAATTTCCCCACTATATAATGAGGGAATAACTGGTCTCCCTATAATTCCTTGATTTCGTAGGGAAAGTAAGAGAAACTGTTTATTTTTCTATTGTCCGACCCAAGAAACTATCAATAAATAATCTAACCTTAGAGCTTGGAGAATGATTAACTAACTTCATCAAACCCTAGCATACAACCCCTCTTGCAACCATACACACAAGCAGACTTTACCCCATTATTATATCTCACAAGTACAATTAAAACCCTCCGTAGAGCCTCAATAAAACTAACTTAGACTACACTCAATTCAACTTTCAAATGCCTTAGCCACCCTTTTCAACACCTTATGACGAGGTGCCACCACAACTAACAATACCGGTCACAACGATCAATAATTCTTATCCTTAGCAGAGTTACAAATTGCCATGGAGATGTTACACCGCCCCAATCAAATTTTGGAGGTGAATGTCCTAATTCATTGGGAGCAGCACCATGGAGATTTTCAAGTAGAAGACGAAGATGAAGTCTTAGATATTTATATACTTAAATTTTATATTTATTGAGGTTATATTATTTTTGAGTAATCTGTTAAGATCAAAATCAATTGATTAAAATTTCATTTTTTTGAGTCATTATAGAGATTGAAATTGATTGATTAACTATTTTATTTTCAAAATTTACCGTCACATAATTTAATAACTATAAATAATATTAAATTATGTGACAGTAAATTTTGGAAATAAACTAGTTAATTAATCAATTTCAATCTCTATAATGACTAAAAAAAATGAAATTTTAAACGATTGATTTTGATCTTAAAATATTACTCAAAAATAATATAAACTCAATAAATATAAAGTTTTAGTATAATTTAATGGTACATAGCATAACAAAGCCTTGTAGACACACTAAAACAAATGTGGGTTAAGAATGGAATCATAAGGATTATCGATTTGAGCAATGACTATTTCTTGGTTGCTTTTTTGCACGAGGATGACAAGAAGATTGCGATGGAGAATGGACCTTGGCTCATCTATGATCACTATCTGACGATCAAGAATTAGTGCCCAAATTTCCAGCCGGAAAAAGATACTATTGATGAAATTGCAGTTTGGATTAGAATTTCAGGATTACCAATAGAATATTATGACTCCAGATATAAAGCGTTTTATAGATATAGTAAATATTAGGGGTGGCAAAATGGATGAATTGGATGAATATAGATTGAATTATTAATGGATGGATTAAAACAATCTATTAGTCCATTAACAATCCACTAATTTTTTTTTTAAAATTATTATCCATCCATTAAGAATAAAATCCATCAAATTCATCCATTAACATATTTTTAATGGATAGATACCCATCCATCCAACTTTTTTTTTTTAATTTCAAAAAAGTAAATGTTTTTTTTTTTTAAATCAATTTTATTTTATTTTCGAAAAATTTATTTTTTGTATTTAAAAAAAATTGCTTTTTAATATATTCATAAAAAAATTGAGTTTTTTGTTTAAAAAAAATTAATTTTTGTATTTTCAAGAAAAAATTGATATTTTAAATTTTGAAAAATATCGATTTTTTTTTTTGAAAAAAAATTGTTTTTTTATAAAAAAAAATTGGTTTTTTGTTTCGGAAAAAATTCGTTTTTTCGAAAAAAACCGTTTTTTTTAAAAGTCAGTTTTTTTGGAAAAAAAATTGATTTTTTTTTCGAAAAACAAATCAGTTTTTTATTTTGGAAAAAAAACCGGTTTTATTTAAAAGAAAAACATATTTTTTTTCAAAAAAAAACCGATTTTTTTTTCGAAAAAAAATCAATTTTTTTATTAGAAAAAAAATCAATTTTTTTTATTAGAAAAAAAATCAATTATTTTCTTTAAAAAAATCTATTTTTAATTATTTAAAAAAAAATAAAGATAATCCATTGGATCCTTAAAATATGTTGGATGAATCGAATCCATCCATGCATATAAATGGATATATTTAATCCAATCTATTAACTTATTTTTTATGTGGTGGATGAATTTTTTGATAGATGGATTAGATGAATTTTGCCTTAATAGATCCAATTGCCACCTCTAGTAAATATTACATGGATATCTATAAACCCTCTGCGTACATAGTGCTTGAAACAAGATGTGATCCCAATAAAATTCATAAGAGCATTCAAATGTTGGGCTTTGATGGTTATATGGTAATGGAGAATCAAGGCTTTGTTGGAGGCATCGGTGTGGCTTGGAAAAAGGTGTATATTAGTATGGAGGTTTGTGAAAAAGATGACCAATTCATTCATTTGTTCATTCAAAACCAGGCGGGCAAAAAATGGCACTTCACTGCCATTTATGCCAGCCCAAGTGAAGCCAGAAGAATTGCTTTATGGAGCTGTCTTAAGAGAATAGCAGAAAATGTTCAGGGAGCTTGGGTATATGGCCGATGATTTTAACGATATAAAAAACAATAGTGAAAAGAAGGGTGGCCTGACTGCTTCAGTGAGAAGGTGTAGTTTGTTCAGGGAAAGAATTGAGGACTGCATGCTGATGGATATTGGTTCTATATGACCTAAATTTACGGGGACGGGTCCTACTTTTCACGGCGGACAAAGAATCTACGAAAAACTGGACAGGGCTTTGTGTAATGCTGACTGGTGTGAAATGTTTCCATGCTCAAGTTAAAGTTCTGGCGAGGGTGGAGTTTTCGGATCACCACCTGATTCTAATTACTCCTAGTATGCGGGTTGATAAAGTTACAACTAGACCGTTTAAGTTTGAAAGTGCTTGGCTTATGGATGAGCTCAATCATGCGAATCTTGAGAAAACTTGGAATGAAGAGTTAAATTTGGTTGACAATTTGGAGAAGGCTAAAGAAAATATGCAAGAGTGGAAGAGTAACTCCTTGGGGCGAGTCTTGAGAAAGAAAAAGGAGTATATAGCCAGATTGAAAGGAATTCAATGCTGCATTCAAAGAAATGGAATTCATCCAGGAATGCGTGATCTGGAGAATAAGCTTCAGTCTGAGCTGAATTATATTCTCAAGCAAGAAGAAGTGATGTGGTACCAAAGAGCTAGAACAAAATGGCTTATTGATGGCGACCACAATATTAAATATTACCATAGGAAGACTATTAATCGAAGGAGAAGGAATAGGATAAACATGTTAAAGAATGATGATGGTCAATGGATTGAAGATCCTTGCAAACTTCAAACTTTGGTCACAGATTATTACAAAGATCTTTTTGCTGTCAAAACTCAATGGAAGAGCTGGAAGAATACTACTGAGCTTATTAATATTATCATGCATTCCATCACGAGTTCTGATCTGAATGTTAATTGGCATGGATCTTGGGGTGAGTTTTTTCGGCCTCATCGGGGAATTCGACAAGGTGACCCCATTTCTCCATATGTTTTTGTTCTATGTATGGAGAAACTCTCTCATCTTATTGAGCATGAAGTTGGTAGGGGAACTTGGAGAGCTATTAAGATGGGAAATCATGGCCCTTATATTTCTCATCTTATGTTCGCGGATGATTTATTCTTGTTCGGAGAAGCTACGGAACAACAAGTCAATTGTGTGATGAAGACTCTGCAGAGTTTTTGTAATATGTCTGGGTAGGAAATTAGTAAAGAGAAGTCGAGCATTCTATTCTCTAAGAATACTCCAAGGAGACTTCGAAGCAAGTTGTTAGGTATATGCAAGTTCAGAGAATCTAACCATTTTGATAGATACCTTGGAGTTCTTATCTGTGGCAGGTCTATAAGAAAAGCAGACTATAATTACATTATTGAACAAGTGGCCAACAAACTTTCGAATAAACGTTGTCCCTAGCAGATCGTACTACCTTGGCAAAGAGTGGTATTGAGGAAATTCCTATTTATCCAATGATGACAGGTCGTACTACCTTGGCAAAGAGTGGTATTGAGGAAATTCCTATTTATCCAATGATGACGAGTTTACTTCCTAAAGGTTGCTTAGAGGAAATTCAAAGATTGCAACAAAATTTTGTTTGGGGAGATACTGAAAATGGCAAGAAAATCCATGCTATCAATTGGAACACAGTAACTCAATATAAAGATACAGGTGGGCTGGGGCTCAAGGATCTCAATCGTATGAATTACGCTTGCATCTCAAAGCTAGCTTGGCCGTTTCTTAATGGAGTAGATGATCTCTGGTGTAAGGTTTTACGTGGCCTATATTCCAATATTAATTTGAACATAATGCAGAATACAAGGAAGAAAGTATCAGGATTATGGAAGGATTTCTCCAAAGTTGTGTCGCTCATGACGAAAGTGGGTAGGTGGGAGCTAGGAGATGAAAATAGAGTAAATGTTTGGGATGATTGTTGGGTTGAAGCAGGTGTTTTCTTAGGGGAACATGTGCAGCAGGTTCCAGTCGATGCCAAAGAGCTTAAAGTTTGTGACTTAGTGACAACTGAAGGGGACTGGAATGAGCAGTTCATGCAGCAATGGTTACCTCAGGACATCATTGAGAAAATTTGTATTTTGCATCCTCCGTGCAACAGCCAAGGCATGGATACGTTTTGGTTGAATGGTATGACTCATGACACGGGATCGGTTAAGAAGTTTTATGAACTTTACTCGAGTAATGAAAATTCAAACTCGTGCCCGAATTGGAAAATAATTTGGAAGCTGAAAGTACCGGGACGAGTTAAGATGTTTGTTTGGCTTCTAAAACATGATCGGCTTCTTACGAATGCTAGCAAAAGTAGAAAAGGCCTTGGTTCATCCAATTGTAGACTGTGTGGGAATGTCTTTGAATCAACATTACATGTTTTTAGGACTGTCCGAAAGCTTGGGTAATATGGGAGAATAAGGTTTATATGGATATTGGTCGAGGATTTGTTGAATCTAATTTACAAGAGTGGATCAGCTTGAATCTGAATTATGCTTCGAAGGAGGATAGTGTTTGGAATGTGTATTGGGCAGGGGCGTGTCATTCTCTTTGGTTTTGGAGGAATAAGGAGGAACATATTGAGGAGTTTGAGAGGCCTATGAATCCTAGGTTGGTTGTAGAGGGGAGGATGAAGGAGTTTGAGGAGGCTAAGATGCTAGATAAGAAGGTGGTTAGTAGAAATAAGGAGAGATTGTTCACATCATGTGGGTTCCCCCTATGCCAAACATGGTAAAAGTAAATGTGGATAATGCGTGTAGAGACGGAGTTGTAGCGGGATGTGGGAGAATTATTAGAGACGATAAAGGTTGTAGGATTGGAGGATTTGCTAAAAAATTGGCTTTTTGTAGTAGCTATATGGCGGAGTTGGAAGGAGTGTTAGAGGGCTTGATTCTTACTTTGGATCTTGGAATCAAGAGAGTGGAAGTGAATTTGGATGCTTCGGAGATAGTTTTGAACCTTCAGCTGGGGAGGACTAGACGTTTTGAAGGCATGAAGATGTTAAGAAAGATTGAGAGCCTTTTGAGCAGATTTGAGTGTACAACAGTTAAACATGTTTTCAGAGAAGCGAATCGTTGTGCAGATAAACTGGCTAAAGCTGGTTGTAGGCTTGAGTCAGTTATGCATCGTTATAATGTTGCTCCTAATTTTTTAGAGAGGTTATTATCTGAAGATAGGGAAGAGATTCTTTCCTTCGAGATGTCTTTTTATATATATATATATATATATATATATATATATATATATATATATATATATATATATATATATATATATATATATATATATATATATATATATATATATATATATATATATATATATATATATATATATATATATATATATATATATATATATTTGCCTTTGACCCTCTCATTTAAAAAAAAAAAAAAATTTTAAACAGGAAAAGCACAGCTGAGCTAATCATATACTCAATTTTTAATATAGTTTGTTAAGCTCCTTAAGAGTCTTAATAATTAATGCAACAAAATTTACTCTAACTAAATTATCTAAGATTAATTGCTAATAAATCTTAAAAAAATATTATGGCTGAGATACTTACTCATCAACAAACAAGATTGTTGGTAATACCCAAAAATCTAGAAATAATCTATATAAATATCAGAACTTTATTTCTTATATCTTCACAATCTGTTGTATTCTTCTTCTTTACGCTTCTATTCACAATATGCTTTCTGAGATGAAATTCATTCCCCGTGATCAGGTACAAGATGAGAATTTGGATGAGATTCATACGATAAAAAAGGTCTCTAGAAGGAACAAGTGGCACTCAACTGATGAAAAATGTTCATGTTATACAACCAATCGGGAGGACAAGAAATGGAAACGTAAAGGTCCTTCTTCATATGGCAGTGATGGTGAAGCTACCAACATTGCAGCCAAACATATTGCTAAATAGACTCCTTTGTACTATAAGAAGGTTTGTTATATTTTCTATATCCATTATTCCATTTCTGTTTTTGTTTCAATTGCTTCAATTCAAACCCTAAACTTACCATCAATTTGTAAAATGACTTAAATAAATTACAGGCAATTGATGAAGCAGAAGACAAGTGGAGACAACACAACCCATTGATACAAGTGAAAAGGGTTTGCTCAACTCAACTCCCATGGACTTCCTATATTTTCATGTCGAATTTGGGATAAATAGAGGTTTTGTCCATGTTATTGAAGATGAGAAGCAGTTTAACAATAACCTCGGATTGAATGTCCTTAGAGGGATACTGCATTTGGATGAGCACAGACGTCAATGGTACGCATCAATGGAGGTACAAAAGCAACATGTTATAATTTTTCCAAACAATGGCAACAGTTTGATTGGACAAAACAACTACATTGACATTTTTCAAATTATAGTCTCAGAAAAACAAATCATGTATTGTAACAAAGAATGGAGGCAGTAAAGAATAGTAAGAACATTTTTTTTCTTGACTTTCATTACTAACACAACTTTATCCCCATAAAATAGAGCACTGTCTATTTAGTCACCACAATCCACAAAATCATAGTTGATAATAAGATGACCCTGAGCATCTCCACTTCCATCCGAGTCAAGCCTATGGAACACACTGATGTCCAAATCTAAGCCCTCATTATGGCACTGGTCAATAATTCTTACTATTTCCTCATCTCCAGTTTTCGTGTTTCTCACCTAAACCCAAAACAAACGTTAATCCAAATTCTTTTAATTTCTCCATCAAGAAATAACACAACGAAAATAAAACACAACATATAACATACCTTCAAGCAACGACAGCAAGAATCGGGGCCTTGAGGCCCAACAGGTCCACAGAAAGCAGTCCAACCGTATTTGCTACGCCATGATAAAGGCTGGTCTGCATCCCAAGTGGCACAAAATGCACTTACTGCAAGTAAATCCCAGTTATGCTGTTCTGGTTGGTATAAATTATATGTAGACGTCACAGTGGCACTTTGTGCAGAAGCCAAAATTATAACACAGAAAAAGAACAACATGCATAGGGTAATAAACCTTGTCATTGTTGTGAA